CTTTGAAGCCCCTTCTTCGAACCCTTTCATGCTCCACCCTCGTGCCTATACAGCCCTGCTGCTGATCCCCGATGATCAATTCCTCTAGTTCACTACATTCCCCTCCCTTGCCTCCAGCCCCCTTTGCTCCAAAGATGATGAGAGTCTTCACCATGTGCTGGGCACAACTATTTCACAAAAAAATTTGGTGGTGCTCTACCCCTTCATAAGCACCCTTGACTTGACCTGCAAAGTTACTACTCCTTTTTGAATAGTGTGATGGGTGGAGTGGGCAAGGACAACTAAAGAGACAAACATTCTAGTAATATTGGAATTACTAGTATGGTTTTATTAAAATTGCTGCATGTCTGAAGCATGCATTTCAACATATACCTTAGAGTTAACTCTAACGTACTGGGTTTGTAAACCTTCTGGGGAGTAAAGCAACATGCAAAAATATAAATTTTTAATCTTTTAACTTTGAATTGTCTTATTCCTAGCTGCAGTCTAACATAACCTTTCATCTAAGCACAGTTATGGAAACAGATATATTTATGTGTACACGTACATACACCATAGCATATGTATGCACAAATGTTTATCTGCAGACAGACCACACAGAAGCTGAATTAAAAGACTGTTAGTATTGCAAAGACAAGCGCTCACACTATAAGAAATGGCACAGTTAAGATTGTCTGAATAATCACAACTGGATCCTTTCATGCATAGGCATTGCAACAGAGTCTTGAGTTACAAAATCATAAATTCATTTCTTCCATAGGAACCTTCTTTCTCTCTCCCACCCTGCTGGATCCCAGCCTTCTGCTATTAGTCAAAGTTGGGTAGAAAGTAAGAATGTTATTTGTAGAACAAGGATACCCATCTCATTTCATGCAGAAGCTGGCAAACACACAGTGAAAGAAGGAGGGGATGTAAGAAAAGAAAGGATGTATTCTTTTATGCACGTCTGCAGCTAGGGTGGCTGAGACTTTGCCAATGGATTTCGTGGACACCTGTGGCAACAGAGGACTGGCAAGTCTCAGGTATCACCATCCCAGGCCTCAAGAAGCACTCACCCCAGGCACCACAGAACGTGTGGCTCTGTTTTCCTGAAGTTGCAGCCAGGTAAACTCCTCATCTGGTCTTACTCTTCCTTGCCAGGCAGAACCAGTCCCTCCATCCTGCCCTCTTGCCCCTCTCTCCCTCTGCCTGCCAGCTGCCAGTTCCAATTTACACTATCCAAGAACCCGAGGCTTATTGCTCCTTATTCCTTTACCTGGCCTCATAACAGCCTCTGTGTACAGCAACAGAGAAAAAAATCTCTCAGCTTTGAAGGTACAGCTCTACAGAGCTTATATGTACAGAACAGGTGTAATCCTATGAGAATTTAACTGGTAAACCTCTAACAAGTCTCTGTCAATCGCATGCAAACATTTTCCCAAAGGTTTAAAACTTAGACATGGGCGATTCCCCACAGAATCAGCAAAAGCATTTCCCTCACACAGAAAAACCTTCTGGTCCTGTTTCCTTTCCTTCCCCACCCTGCACCCCCAAAGGCTGAGAATATGCACTAGAGCTTCTCCAAAATGATTTTTAAAATTTGGACAGAGCACTCTGTTTTCTCTTAACCTTGTTCTTTGAAAGAACAAGCTGTTCTTATAATCTTAAAAAAAGATTCAGTATAAAACTGAAACTTGAATGGAAAACTTCGACCTGAATGATTCAAATCTTGCAGAGTTCTGTACAGCCAAATAATAACATTTCTAGATATCTCCTGCTAAAAAAGCTTAAGTTGGCAGTACCAGCTCCAGCCAATATATGAACAGTATGAGAGACTGTATGCATGTGTGTATATGGGTGTTTGCGCATATGAATGAAAAACCATGATAGAAAAATATAATGTGAAAATACATATATAAAAAACATATCTGACTGTTCATGACCTTTCAAGGCCATTGAAAATGGCCAGGGGACCATGAAAAGATGGTCCTCAATGAAAAAATTGATAAAACGACTTATTAAAAATAATACCCATTATTTGCGAAATAGTAATACTAATAGGATTACTACTGCAGAAACAAAGCTGGCAGAACCTCACTTTATTTTCTTAAAAAAAAAAAAAAAATCTACACTTCTGGTACTTCACCTCCTAGACCATGGCAACATTATGACTTCAACTAACGTTGCCTGTACTAAACTAAACAAAATCTACATTTTCAGTGAAAAGTGTCTGAAGGATACTGAAACACAACTCTGCTTTCTGCAAGACTAGATGGTCAGATCACTGAGACTGAGTGGAACGAACGAATAGTGTTGTTCCAGACTGAAGAGCTTTCCTACATTTTCTTATGAATTTCTGTGTGCCACCTGCCACATTCTTCCTTTTCTTCATATCAAGTTATATGGTGTAACAGACTGGATGACCTCTGCTCATCTTAGGACAGGTGGCCAGAATACCATGTGTGGATCTGTCATCTACTATTCATAAATTAACCACCACCAAGGAAAGAATACAATCTCTTTTAAGAGCACATTTGTGCTGATACCACTACTTGTTCAGGTGCTGAAACTGAGCCTCTTTTTATCAGCCTCAAGTGCCTTTACCTAAGACCGTACAAAACCAGTATTAGCAAAGGTTTCTTGTTTTAAATGTAAGTTGTTAGAGAAGGTTTTCATTTGTTTTATCTTTCTATATTTGCGAAAGGGAAAAGATAAACTACTCTGAAGCTTACCACCAAAATGAACATGTCTAAACTACTGCATTCGTAAGGCATTGCATTACTATACAAATGCAGAACCTGCTGAAATCTAAGGGGAAGATGATTTCAAATTGGTAAGTCAAGACAGTGCTTTAATTCTACTGTTACATACTGAATGAAAAAAAAAAAAAAGGTATCTGAAGCTCAATTTGTAGAAAAATCATATCATTTCCACAGAAGCCTACAAGGTCTGTGCACCCTGGTCAAGACTTACTCCATGAAAGCAGCTAATAGTTTCAGTACTGTTCAAGTTACATAAATATAACATGGTTGCCACTATATTCTTTTGTTAGATGCAGAGACACACCAGGAATGTCAAAAATCTGTGTCTTCAAGAAAGCAAATACTGCACACACAGCT